TGTAATCAATTCTTCTACTAATAAAAAGTCCGAGAGTCTATAGAAATCTATAAGCAACCTAACAATCTTAACCGCGATTCAGGTCTTTGCCTGTCACCAATATGGGAATCAGTCATCCGAGACGGTGTTTATGCGAGCCGGTTTCAGTCAAGCTCTGAAGAAGTTAACAGGATAATTGGCGAAACGTTAGCAGGTTTGACTCAACAAAAGTTATGTTGTTTCAGCTTTAATTATGAAATTCGCTTAGAAAAGATACGAGAGAGAAAAAAATATTTCTCTGCACTAAATAAACTGCACTCTCTAAAACTACAGTAAAACCCATAGCAACGCCAGTGATGTGTGTTTTGCGGTGGTCTACTTCAGCGAAATTTTTCGAGGTTAGACCCTACTTGACCGCACATTTGCCTCCGATATTTATGCACCGTGGCTGTTAACGCGCTCTTCGCTTCACCCACAGTTAAGTGCATCTACTGGGGCGTGGCCATCGTGATGCTGCGCTTCTATTAAAATTATGAGCCTCTTTCTAGGTTTCAATAGTTAGATATCATCTGCATCTCTCCGAATTTTATCGAATAAAGTTCAGTTACAACAAATAATTATGCCCATGCACCTTTGACTGCCTGGAAAAATTAGTTTGGTGTTATTGTTAAACACTATTTTTCTGCAATTGGTCAAATTATTAAAGTTTTGTTTTATGACAATTATTGTCGAAGTGGCACTGTTCTTGTAGCGTCCTGTTCTAAAAAAATTATATAGCTTCTAGATATACAGGATACAGTAATCAATGCGCCCAAAAGAAATCCTGGATTACACTAATACAACTTAGTAAAATGTCGCTCATTAGTAATATCTTCTCTCCTCTATCCATTACCTAGTAGAGGTTAGCAACCGCTTCTCGGAATGAGTGTTTCTCTCTTGCAATTTCAAAGAGTCCTCCTAGACCCATATCAGTCCAATCTCTAATATTTTTCAGTAATTATTTCTTGTTTCTTCTATGTCCTTTCGTCCATCTACTCGTCTCTGCATCGTAGTATGCAGTAGTATTTATTATTTCTTAAGATATGATAGAAATAAGTTGTTTTTCTTCGTTTAATTATTGTTGATAATTTGCTTACTTGTCCCATTATTCTCTGCTTCTTCTTAGCATCGTATTGCCAAGGTTTCGAGACACTCTACACTCCATACAGTAGCTGTAACCACACGTAGTACTCAATAAACTTCAATTTGATTTTAAGTCATGGATTTTTGTCACTAATTAGTGTTTAAAATATTAATAACAATAAATTGGCTCTATTCGAATTACACAATATTTACAATTGGCGAAGTTGAAACAATGCAATCTTTACCTAAAAAATACAGTACCATGGACAACAATATAGCAAAAAAGAGTACTAATAAAAAATAGAGCGCCGCGTGCGAAATAAAAATTATCGACAAAATTTTTTGAAGAGCAACCGTATCTCACTATTTCGCGTCATAACTTTCTTGATAGTACTTTCCATTTTTTTTGACGATTCAAATTAAAACTAACCAAAACTATTCTATATTTGTTTCGATAAAACACGTCGTTTTCAATATATTTGCATTTTATTACATTCACTTCCACAAAATAATCGGCCCTAAAAACTGCCCCAAATTCAAAATTGGTAAGCTCGCAAAAAAAGGAAGGAAAAATATTAACAAAAAAGTAATGACATAAAATAGGTTCATAACTAACGACCTATACATACTATATGAAAAACTGGAGTATAATCGAATTCATCATCTCGGAAAACACCCGATTCCAAGTTTTCACTCATTTGAGTTATGTCGCCGTTTACCAACTAGCCCATAGTTTTGCAATGAAGTTGGCCAAGGTTAATAGTCGACTAAGTAAACAAAAATATTTACTAGGCAAATTGCCTTGAAATGAGTTCAATTCTGAAATAGCACATAAAGCAACAAGTTTAAAGTTTTAGTTTTTAATTTATCAATAAACGAATGACTGGAGAAATCTATCAACGTTTTGTCATACTATACTTTTTCTATGACCGATAATTTTTAGGTCCGATAGCATCCGATCGCTTCCAAACCGGCGACTAAAGTACGGGAAATATCTGAAGTCACTTGCGATCGTGAGTAGTCTTAAAATGACACTTTCATTTTAGAGTAGCGAATAGAAAATAAAAATTTTGCGCCCACTATCCAGGACTTACCTAATACAAAAAGATAAGCATCTTCCACATCGATTTCGTTATTTTCTGAAATGTTATTGTCATTTAATGGTATCATTTATTTAGGAGTTTGTGTTAGGAAGAAAAGTAATTTGCGTTCGGCAGACCAAAGGGACTTAAAATATGTAGTGTGCGTTAAATAAAAAATCCCACGAATATTTCACTTTATACGAAAGTCGGGTAGGCTCTTAAGTCCATTAAGAGCTGTTTTATTTAAATTTCATTGAATAAAATGAGGACATAACACGGTTTAATTTAACTGTATTCAACTTTTAGATAATTTGCAAAAATACCGCCAAAGGCAAGTAGTTTATTTGCAATTTCGCATATAATCGGGTCAATTTTCAAAATTGTCTAAAATTTTGCTACTTTCACAATTCCTTATACAGTTTTAGTATTCTAGCCATGTTATAGTTCTCCTTTAGTTAGATTTTTTTTTAATAAATTTAAATTAAATAATACTAAATAGTCAAAATTTTTATTATAAATAATTCATATGTTCTGAAAATCATTTTTCAATAAATGTTAAAAAACACAAAAAATTATTAATATACATTTTCCTAATTAATAGTGTGCTTATTGTATTATTACTTATATTGTAAAATTTTTATAAAGGCCCGCAAGTTTTATGTTAAATACTTGAAAATTCTCAGGCTTCAATTTCAAGTAAACGAAAATATGTTTTGGGCTCGGTGACATTTGAATCTGTCTGACGAAGCTCTGTTTTTCTTAAAAAGTCCAAGATTGCGAGGCCAATTCGAGGAACGCAGAGGTCAAACTCATAACGATGTGCTTCGTCATAACCGAAGCAGAAATTTTTTTATTATAATTGAAGCTAGTCAAAAATTTTTGGTACAATTCATAAACAAGTGAAATCTAAATGCTTTTATCGATGAATCGGTGGTGTGGAAAAATTGCTATAGGGACCGGTGCGAGTTTAGAAATTCGTACGACTATAACCCAACAATTAGTAGGGGCTGGTTCAGCCGTAAGTAAAAAAAAAATTTATTGTCCAGATTTTGTTGCTCTCTCACTAGTTAAATGAGACGATATAGTTTATACAGACTTGATTTGCAGCGAGAAAAATTGATAACATATAATGGGTTAATACAAGAAAAACATAACTTCCTTTCTAAAAAATAAGTTATAATTTAGATATATAAAATGACACCGCTGATATAGGCCTCTTCTATTCCTGAAATTGTTGTCGAAAAGCATCTCCAATGTTTCACCTACCAACTCCCTCCACAAGCTTCTTCGTTAGAAGTCCAATTTCAGCAATGGACATATTTAATTATAATTGTAGTGATATAGATGACGATGATCTAACATCGTCTCAGTTTGGCATTAAAAAATTGTTACGTTTCAGGTGATTATTGTAATCCGGTTAGTTCTTTTTTGGATTTTTTTTATATATATCTGGTTGCTTTTGTTTGGCTAGGTTTTTACATTGTTGGTGCGTACGCGGTATTCAGAATTTTCTTTTGACGTGGTAACTATACTTAGCAAATTAATTTCCTTGTCAATGGATATTATATTCGTTAGAAAATACAGTTTATTATAATTATTGTTCAGCCAGTTTCTTGATTTTTTTTGTCTGTGCATTTCGTCACTACTTTTATTTTTTATTTTTTTCACAAGCTTGTTTATGCCAGAAAAAAGTAATGCCATTTATAATTTTTCCTTGAAGTGTTATTGCTGCGATGCAATTCTACACTCAAAAAGGAGTTATCCCCGCTTTACACCGAAATTGAATTCACGCAGAAGTTAAATTAAAAATAAAGTATTCTACTGTTACGAAATTTATAACAATCCAAAGAGCAGGATAATTAAGTTGCACATGAAGAATAAACAACAAACGATGCAGGTTGTATCTTTGTATTGTATCTTTGTCCAGAAGGAAGGAGCGTGTTGAAAAAATAGCCGAGCAATTGAAATGTGAAAGAGGAAAATTAGTTTCCTTCAAATGTGATATTCGCTTATAAGAAGACATTCTCACTGCATTTGAACACATTAGGACTCACTCAAATATTGTTCAATAATGGGGGAATGAATATAACTAATAACCTGTTCGACGGATCCACTCAAATATGGAGACAAATATGATGAATATGATAATGAATTTTAAAAATTGACAGAAAATTATTCTCGAAATCTAGAAAGCAGAGGACCGGCAGTCTGGCTCGCGCAACAAATTTAAAACTGATTATTATAAATATAATTACCCAAATCTAGTTGTGACATCTAAGTCCATTTAGGTGGCTGAAGGAAAAGAATTATTGTATCTCTTTAGAAAATAGCTCAAATATTGAATACGAGTCCTGCTTATGTGCTTTAAATGAGCAGTATGAACTGTTGTAAGTACTCTTCAACACTCAGCAATAGAAAATTGTGGAAAAAATTATATAACAATAAGTATAATATTAAAGTATCGCTGTAAGAGTAGGTGCACAAAGATAATATTTATTTTTAGCATTAGGTACTTTTTAATTCATTGTATATTAACTCTGCATCTGAATTTAATAACAAATCCTATTTATAAAATGATGCCTTTTTAGACACAAATTTACTGGGTCTTGCTATAGTGACCAGAGAATCAGTAAAGGATATGAGAAGAACCAACTCTGAAGGTCATATCGTTAACATAAATAGTATATCTGGATATAAAGTTTTCAATTTCCCAGGTTGCGCCATGTATCAGGCGAAAAAGTACGCACTAACGTCTTTACGATATGAAGCTGAGAGAGAATCAGAGTAACGGTAATATTGAAGCATTATTTGTTTCAGAGCATAAACCCTGGACCCGTTAAAACAGAGTTTATGCAGGTTTGCATGGATAAAACAACTGCTAATCAGGTAAAAGATTGCGTGGGTCTTGAACCGGCAGATGTAGCTGATGCTGTAGAGTATGCATTATCAACCCCTCCGCACGTGCAGGTAATCAGTCCGTAACATATTTCCAAAAAGCAAAAAGGTCAATTTTTTATATATGTTTAATTACGGATCAAAGATTTTTTCGTTGCGAAAGTGTTGTCGTTTTCTTTTTCTTTCTAGGTTTACGGCATTTAGAAGAGCAAAGTTAAACAGTGCCATCAATCTTTTATCACGCAAAATCCAAAATTGGGCATTAAGCAATAGTTATTGGAAACGGTTAATAATCTAGGTATTTTTTCACCACCTCAATTAAACTGTTATTCAAGGGATCCATTAAATTCATTGCCCAAACCATTAGAGTTTCATAAACAACAATTTGTTGTTGCTATCTCAACGTTTTGCCAATCAGAACTACAGTCGAGGACCATTTTCCATGAAATGCTGTGAGGAATGAATGTTTTCGCAACCTCTGAGTTGTGCAGTTTGTTATGATGGATATTTTCAAAGGGTATGTTCTCCATTAAATATAAGTCTGTCGACTGTAAACAATTTATAAAGTAATTTCCTTGCGAGAAAACCTAAAGACAACTGAACAGGAGTCACAACATTTACAAAGCTGCTTAAAATTGCCAATAGAGGCATATATAAAAGTAGGGACAGAAACGATAACATAAAAGTAAAGACCCAATAAAAACATAATAATATTCGCCTTCTAATGGTTTAGTAAAAAAATAAGATTATTGTGTTAGTTTTTGATGAACTATGTATATATTAATGCACAAAAAATTCTTAAATATTCAATTAACTAACGTGCATTCTTATCTGCTGCATAAAAAGGAACACCTTTGTGTGAGGATTGGGAGGGTATTGGTTTAAGTGGTCCTGATTCTGCGATGTTGTATTGTAAAAAAAAAATCTCTTCTAAAAAAGGTTTTCGTTGGCTATGGCCAGATGGATCAAAATTCTGCTGAAATAATGCCTGAATGTCCAAATTAATTGGATGTTTCCAAGTCCAATTTAATCACGACCTAGCTTTTGATTTTGTTCTTATTAAACATATATATCCGTTTAAGGAATGAGAAGAACATAAATTAGTTTGAGTTAAACTCTTGTTTCATTGCCATAATTTCATCGCCCGCTGTTTTAACCTTAATGCATTCATTATTTTAATTTTTTTTTAAACTATAAGTAAACGGGCTTATAAACACATTCAGCAATATTTTTGTAATACGTGTGATTCATAATATGGCATTCATAATGCAAATAATCTTAGCCTTTAAGACCCAAAAGAATCGATGAAATCTTCGACAGTTTGCAACGACGCTGTATATAAAAAAAGATACTCATATTTTTTGTTAAATGAAAAAATGCACGAATTCGTTCGTCGATTATTTTCACGTTAGTAGCTCCCAGTAAACAGTTATTGAGTTATTAACGATGTCAAAAGCGCAAGTGGTGAAAAATGAAGAAAATAGGGCCGATGAGAAGAATATTTACAATTCGCGCGCTAAGTATACCAGGAAAGATCGCAGGCCCGCTTTAGCGCCTTTACAAGATGTCGCAATCAGCTGCAATGATTATTTAAGTGTCAATTCCAAGGTAATTAATTTGCGAGATCGTGTATCTTTGTTTGATGTTTTCTAGCAGTCTTCAAGCGCAAGCATGCACAAATGAATGTCGATTGAATTTTTTATTATTATAGTATTGTCGGATTCTCCGATCAAAATAATTATGCTTTCACAAAATATTTGGGACTTAATTTTTATTTTCTCAATTACAAATAATATTTAAATTATGTTTTGGAAATTTCCATTAGAGTGTAAGAGGGTAAGACCATATTTTTTATCCTAATTACAATTGACAAAATTTATTTTTTTTAAATACCCGCAGGAAAAAGAAATAAATGTTATTGAAATATACACTTATTCTGATAGTAGAATCCAATCCAATCTAACGCCTGAGACAACGTCTATAGTAGAAAACTAATTTTAAAAGGTTAGCATAGTGAAACTTTCCATATTCCAAAAGTAAAACTTTTTGAAAACCTTGTATTTTGGCCATAATATTCTTTCGCATATACCGCGAATAACCCTGAATTGTTTTTTAAATTCGATTTTAGTTATTTTTATTTTATATTGTGCGTTAAGCTAACAATTTTTCTCATAAAATTTAAAACATCTTTTTTTAATTCTCGTAACTTTGAAGCAGTTCCAGATTTCTTTAAAGAAAAGTTATAAAGCTGTTAACTGCATTTTATTAATATCGCAGTCCAAAAGTAAATATAAGTAAGAAAATATAATTAAGTGAAGGGGAAAGTCACAAAAAACACTTAATAACGGGTTTCTATATTTTTTCCACCACGCATAGTAACGATGTAATTGTTATTAAACCCTTTGAGTATTGTCGCCTACACTACTTGAACTATTGTTAACTCTTTTAAATTGTCGATAGACTGACGCGCCAATATAAAGCAAAAATAACTATAAAATAACAAATTATTTCTACGATGAATTTATGCTATGTTATTAATGATTTCAAATGACACTCTTCATTTCCAGGTTCAAGTTGTAAAGAGAAGTAAATCAATATCTGAACCTTCTACCAGGTAAGCAAAAAATGTTGAACACAGGCTTAGTTCCTTATTTGTATTTTTCAAACTTTGCATTGCATTGCATTTTTAGGCATCCTTTGTAGCTCTGTTGTATGGTAAATTATCAAAAAGGAGAAAACTGGCCTGGATGGGTGTTTCTTATATAGGATCAAATTTTGTGGAATTTTGATATATAAACTAAACTTGGGTTTTCTTAGTACACCCTGTTTGCCTTTTAATAATTTTATTAGACTTATTATGACCTTCAGAAACATGAAATATGTGAGTGCTATTTCAAATACAAAGCATATCTTTAATTTTAATATTTTTTTATTAATTCCCTCTCCCCTTACTTCTGATATGGTTCCTGTAAACCCAAACCATTATAAAAAACGATTATAAAAAATTATGTAATTGATGTATTTTGCATGGTCTACTAATAAAAAAAAAACTTCAAGAATATAATTTTTATTTGAACCAGCTCTTATGTGTTCTATGTTTTTGAAAAGCTAATAACAAGCCCAACTAAATTGCTAAAATACACATAGGGCAATGCATTAAAAAACAAAACAAAAGTTTAATTTTTATATCAAAAATTAGAAGAAAAATCACCACTCCACTATATACTACGTAAAAAAACCTATCCAGACCAGTTTTGACATTTTCGATAGGTCTGTCCCCAAGATAGCTATGATATTTCTATTCATGGCATCTTTCATTTCATAAAAAAGTAGCCTTGGATCACGAAGGCCGAACATACTAACTTTACAAATAATGGAGATGCAACTAAGATTTTAAGATGAATCAGATTTTCTCTTCATACTTGTCCGGGCCTAGATTTTCATAAAAAAGTAATGCTAAAAACCGCACATAAATATTTGTTTCCATTGCTGAGATATAGAGTGGTTCTTGAAAATGTGCATAAAAAAAAAGCTGGTATGCACGATTTGGTATTTATATGAAAACATTTCAGATGCGGATTCAATTTTTTAAATGTGTTGAAAAGAACATATTTTGTTTCCAAAACTATAGAATATTTGATATTTTGGTAAAGTCGTCTTGAACTTTAAAGTAGGCTTTCGACAATGCAACTGTAATATAGAAAACAAATACATACTAGTATAATGGCCAAATTGTGATTTTGGTCCTAAAGACGTTAGGTTTAACATTTCAAAATAATTTAAATTTTTAAATTAAATTAAATAAATAGTTGCTTACATTTTTCTAGGGCAGCGTGCCCTTTTCTGGTACTACATGGCTTGTAAGTTTTTATTTAACGTTCCTGTAAGCCTTATTGGTGTCTTCAACTTTCATGTTGATATGGTAGAATTACTTTTTGATTGTTTATTATTAATTAAGTTGTGCCTTCAGATAACAGCTTTAAGAAGCTATTTTTTTAAAGGATATTGGTCGTAACAACTATATTCACAATTGCCAACTACCACTACGCATTTCTATTACAACGGCGATCTGTCCAAGGCCTACGTGATATTAGTATATTATGTAACAAGTGCGGTAAACGGTATTTGAGTCACGAGTTTATTTGCGGCGAACGGAGCACAGCGGAGCGAATGTTTAATAAATGAGTGACTTAAAAAGTTTACCAAACGTTTTGCATACTATACTTTTTCTACGACCGTTAGTTTGTGGGTACATTTTTGCAAAACAACATGAATATACTCAGTGACATGATCGTCAGAATTGACAAACGTCAAGCGGTGCGGTAAAATCTCCGAAAACATCCCGTTGCTCCTAAACCCGGTAATTTCTCGGAAATGTCCGAAAGGACTCGGATCCGTGCGACAAAAAACTGACGTGATAAATTGACACTTCCCGAACTCTAGATCGGTGTATAATTAGGTATTTTACAGAAGGGAGTAGAAAAAAGTGGTAACAACTCTGTATTTTAAATGAGACACGAGAAAAATGTCTAACAGGCTAACAAAAATATACAGAGTGTTAAAAATATTGTATTCAAACCATTAAATTCTGCCTAAAATGTTGCTTTGCATATGTTTTAATAGAAAAACAAAATTTTCGATAACAAGAAAATTACAGAAATTCCCATGTTCAGTTTTTACCAACATGAAAATAGATATTAGTTTTCGTGTATCTTCTATAGAAGGGGGAATTTTCCTTTAAGTGTCCAATTTGGCTCAGCCTCCCTATTTCATGAAATAAAATTATCCTTGTAAAACCCAAAATATTAATAAAAAGGGTGTTACCATTTCTATATCACACAGTATATTTTATTCTTGAAAAAAAAATTGAGGCGTTAACAACATCTTTGGTCATCTTATATATTTTAATTTAGACCCTTAAAATTAGACCCTCTATTGTGATTTCTCTTTAAACGATCCTCTTGAATTTAGATACACATATTTACCAATTGCTTGCAATGTAATTTGTTATAAAGGTTTCCTAAAAATTCATAGCATAAATTATAGTGCGAAAATTTTCTGTCAAAGTGTTTTCCGAAATATACATATAGAATAAGAAAATAAAATGATTAGCTTGTTTTTTTTATATAGAAACGGGCCCCCTAAGACCAGGCAAATACCATTTATCAAAGAACCGTTAAACCCGCTACGCTACGAGCCGGTAAGTCGTATATTAAAATAAATAAATAACGTTGCCTAATTAACGGTCGAAGTCTAGCCAACGACTATTCAAAAATATCCTGCCAATCAGACTTAAAAATTATTAAAATATACAGCACCATTAAACTGTTAACTAATACACAACTGTATTATAAGGAATAATGATTATAACTTCTTTCTTCCTTGTTTCCAATATTTAAAGCGTCTATATTAAGGTGGGAATGGATCAAGCAGATATGATTGCGATATAATTGCGGAACAGTTAAGCAACGTATGAGCAACACATGAGTTGACACAGTGTATACGTTGCGCAACACAAGCAGCTGTTGGCGATCTGCTGTGCAGTGTTGGCTACACAGCGCGCCAGTGTAGATACATAATTTTAGATTTTAGAAGACTAAACCAACACTAGATAGATACCGGAAAAACTAAATAATGTTTTATCCTCACGAAAACCAATTTGCTCCCTAAGTCTTTTTGCTATTGCGTAATAACTTTCGCTTGGTGTGTTCCCACCTTTAGAGTTGCTACTAATTTTAATCCTAAAAACATTAAAAACACATACATGAATTATATTAATTTTGTAAACTACATATACATAAATAACTACATAAATTAAAGAAATTAAAGAGCAAGAAGAAAATCTGCATAATGAAACTAACGAATCTGTTTTCAAGTCAAAATTTGAACTGACCGCTGTTTTATAGTGCTGCCTTATAGTAGTTTTATTTAAACTTACATATTGTATAAAATTGTATAAAACTGACCATGACCCTCACAACTTAACTCACTATGCACGATCGCACACAAATTGCTGGGACAACTATCTTCAATAATTATACACCATTCAAAAATATATTTTTTCATATCAAAAAACATTAGATTTGATCACCACATTAAAAAATAGACATTGTTCGTTGATTTAATAAGTTGGATTTAAATTTCGTACTTGTAAAGCAGTTCATTATTATTATTAATTTAATGGTAACCTTGGTCCCGATGTGTTAAAATGCTCGCTTATTATCATTGGTTAAACGCAAACTTTGCAAACCTATAAAGGTTTTGTAAATTTTGTAAAAGACAGGTTTCCCGGAAGAACTCCTGAAAGCATCCCATCCATATAATTGTCGCTGCTTGGCAATCCCTCCAAGACAGCATTGATGGGTGTCGGTGTGTGGCTCATAGAGAATCTCAGCATTACTAAATGTAATGTTCCTTATTCTCGATCAAAAAATCCACTTCATTTTAATTGCTTTATAAACAGGTCCACCTTAAACAGATTCACTACAGTAAGGGATTTTAGAGTTGTGTTTTATAAGAAGTTCATAATTATACCTCAAACCCCTACCAACCGACGTTGGTAGCCAGTGCCTATAGAACCTTGTGCTTTGTTTTGCGAACCTGCAAAAAGTATCTTATTGTACGGTTAAATCCTTTAAACTGTTAAGTCTAGTTTGGATATGGTTCCCTAATACTGCCACAATCAATCTGTTGAGTCTATCGAAAATTAATTAATTAATAAAAGTATCATATGTTTATCCTCAATGGGTTCTTGGGCATAAATTCACTAGGTTTGAACAGTTTGTTTGTTTGTTGGAAATTGGCTTTTTCATGAAAATGGCAACATTTGGCTTGGTTTATGCTTGTGTCATATCATGTATTGTCAAATTAATTTACTTTTAAAATGAAATTCATTATTTTAAACTGTTGTTTATAACATTGCGGTTTGTCTATGACTAATGTTTCCATTTGTTCTTTAGTCGAATTATATTTATCCCGAAATTCAAAAGGGTCTGCTTAAAATCCCCTACACATTTTAATTACTTGTGTGATTCTCCTAAAACAATTTTTCTCTTAGGCAAGACCAAAATCTTCCAATTTGCAAACAGTTCAGTCGTGCCATTGCAAAAAAGCCAAATCTTTAGGATTTGATGTTTCCGCTGCATCTTCTTCAAAAAGAGCGAACCCCAAAAGTATAACAAATTCCTTGCAGTCGGGGAAGTACACGGAACTTTATCAACTAGGCGCAACTCCAGAAGATCGCAACGTAAGGAGAAGAAGCGTATCGACTTGCGATAAATCGACCCTGCTGGTTACTCAGCAGGTTTCTTTAAAGCGCAGTCCTTCTCATTCGCAAGAGTGGATCAAATCAACCGTACATTTAAAATACCCAAAAACAACAAAGGCTTCGATAACACAAAGTGTATCCAGAGAAGATCGCAGTATTCCGGATATACGGATCCACAATTCGACTCTAATTAATTGCGTAGAGAGCCAAAATGTAAATGAAGATCTAGAGAGCAGATCGAGCAACTTGAGTCCGGACCTTGAAATGTTGGAACAATGCAGAAATATTCAGTATACGCGTGAATTTTCCGAACTACCAAATGAAGATACATCGTTTCAAAGCGCGAGCCGCTATTTTGATAGTAAGTTCGCACTTTTAGTATATTTTTTAGTAGAAATGCATGTATTTTTATAGCAAGGCAGGCATTTTCAACAGTTACTTACTACATTGTCTAGATAAAATGTTTTTAAAGTTTACCAGCGATTAATTCGTTTTAAAAAGGTTTATTAATAAATTATTTTTTAAATGTTTGATAAATGCTTGGTACAAAATACAACTGTTTGACAGCACCCAACTTAAACATTTTTCTAAAATAAATGATTTTATTATTTTATTTCGAAACTGTAAGTCTTATGTAAAACTTACAGGAGACAAAAAGTTTCTAAATGAAACATGAAATAAAGAAAATACATTTTTTATGTTATTGCATAATTTTTTCTCAAGTTTAGTTAAAACCAATGATAGGGGTAATCAAATTATGCAGAGTGTATTTTTTGAATAGTAATACTACCGTAACTTTTTTATTGTTCTATTTATTTTCGGTTTAAGGATAAAAAATAAAAACAATATTTTCAAGCCACATTTGTAGCGCAATATCTCCCAAACGGTTAATTTTTCACCCACCCATTATATAACAAAATGTCCCTTACTTTAAACCCCCTCCAGTTCTTGGCATTTGTTTCGAAACACACTGTATATGTTGTAAAAGTTTTTAAAGGCTAAACTCTGTTTGATGAGAGCCAACCTTTTTTAGATAATTTTCATGCAATCCAACCGAAATTTGTTAAATCTCCAATTACTCTGAATATCCCATTAAGAAGAAGCTCCAATATTTCCGAGAAGTTTGAAACCTGCAACATTAAAAAACTCATAGCGAGACGGAAATTAAAAAGTAGAAGGGAAATAAGTAAGTTTTGAAGTTGTTTCTACTACCATCTAAGCATCAATTTTTATTTCCAGGAGATTCGTTTCTTCACCCGATTATTTACAATGCAGAGTATATTGAGGTATAGTTTGAAAGTTTTATACAGTTACATTAACTAGTTTGTGTTTTACATTCATGTAAGCTGCCAGAGGATTTTGGAAATATTGATTTTTTATGCGCACGATTTTTAATTATTTTTCCTCACAAATTGTAAACAAAAGGAACTTTTTGTTAGGTTATAGGTTGGATTTAGCCAATTTTTATTTAATTTTATCCCGGACTAATATCTAGAACCAAACAATATTATTAAATAAAAATTCCACTGAAATATAACAATAACATATTGTTCTACGGTTGTTCCATCTAAAAAACAAAATGTTTGTATAGGGTGTCCCATTGAAAATAAAATAAGGACCACTAACTTTCTGAGCTGACCATGTATTTTTATTTTAAAAATTGCTCTGAATCCTAGGCAAAAAGTTTTTATTCGATTAAAAAATAAAATAGATATAGAAAATGATGAAAACAACAAAAAAATGTCATTTTTCAGGATATTGTGCAATATTTCTATACCATAAATTCAAAATTCATATTAAGTGTCGAACTCGTAGAGCAACGTGTACATAAGAGTGTTCGTTCGTCAATTGTGAACTGGCTAATGCAAATAAATGTAAGTGAACTGCTACTACAAATTTGACACCAAGTCATTTAATATCTAAAAAAATAAAATGAAATATTTATTTATAGGAAATATTCACGTCTTCCAATTCGGATGTAGTATTTTTTACGGCAGTGAGACTATTCGACTGGATAGTAATCGCCCTAAAATTGCGGAACACAGGTTACCAACTAGCTGCGATAGCGTCATACTGGATAAGCACTAAATATTTGGATAATTTAACTATGAAAGTAGGTAATTTGAAAGTGACGTCTTAATTTACCAACACAATTTTTTTTAACATAGAAGGAACGATTTTAATATAGGGTTATAATGAAGGTGCGGAATATTTTCGCAAATGCACAGTTGCCAGCGGTCTAAGTCTAACTCGTATGCTAGTTGTATGCTCTAAACTAGTTTTCAATTTGAATAGAACATATAAGCTACATATAAGTATAGGGGCTAGATAATTTGTCTGTGGCAGTGCTATATTAAATTCGAAAAAGTATTTCTTTTTTGACGCAGAGAGTAAGAAGGAATATACATATATATATATATATATATATATATATATATATATATATATATATATATATATATATATATATATATATATATATATATATATATATATATATATATATATATATATATATATATATATATATATATATATATATATATATATATATATATATACATATACGTTTTCTACAGGTAAGAATAATTAAAAAAATAGTTTAAAATAGAAAATATTTCGTAAATTCCACTCGCTAATATGTATGGCGTGTGTATGTATTTTCCAATTAGCTAATAAGCAAATAACGGTTCACTGTTTCAATTTGGTTTGTTCCTGTCGATCGGATCTGTAGACCTGTTTTTAAAACGTTTAGAGTTCAAACGTCCAAAATTTTGCAGAGTTCCCAAAATCAACATTCTAAGGTTCCAAAATTTCAACATCCTGTAAATAAAGGTTTTGAGAACTTGAAATCTGACACCACTTTTGTTCATATTTTGCAAAGATAATTTTTTGAAATCGAATAAAATTTCCAGATCCCCAAATTATTCGCCCTTTGTGATGGGAAATATTCGAAATCGGAAATATTATCTATGGAGATTAACATTTTACAAAAGATCAAGTTCTGCTTGGATATGACTAACCCGCTTGACTTCTTATATTATTATTTAAACACTTTCAGTTTTGAAGATATCGAGGTGAGTAAAATAGGTAGAGTAGGTAGGTGCAATAGGTTAAAATTTAAAGGTCGAATTGGCCACTTAGAAATTACACCTGTTTACACTAAACTTTAACTTTGGAGTGGACAAAACTTATGTTTTTATATTAAAAATCTAACTTTGTCTTATATCTTGACACTGGCAGAGTCGTTGAGGAAAAGAAAATATTATTAGATGCGTGTAAATACGTGCTAACCGAGTTACAGAGTGTCAAAAAATTATTTTATTAAATTTTGATATAAAATACAAACTTAGTGTTAAAAATAGCTAAAATGACATGACTTCCGTAATTTTTGTTATTATATTTTGTTTTATTTAAACTAATACATTTTTATGTTTTTAGCTTTTAGAGTATGCCGCCCGGTTTATAATCGATTGTTGCTGTCTTTTTGAAACTTTTATGATTAAAGACTCGTCTTTCGTCGCGGCTGCATCTCTCGTCTTGGCTTATAAAACAATCTGTAGGAGCCAACAATTGCTTTTGACATTTAAGCGGCATAAAATTGCAGAGCTCGAAGCCTACGCGAACAAAGTACTGGTAACGAATATAAGATATTCAATACTCGCCAACTACGAACCGATTTCTAAATACTCAAACCCTGAAAAGAGGAACGTGTACCAATACTTCTCCTGCCTGTTGTAACGTGTTAAATTTATTTCCGCTGAATTGTCAGTGAAGTGAATTTTCCGGCGAGACTTTTGTAAAACGTTATTTTTTTTAATTTATTTATAATTCCATCACTTTTTACTGTTTGTTGACTATTTTACTATAAAATTTTATTGTATAAGTGTCTTTTATCTTTTACGTAGTGAATAAAAGCGCTTTTAGTTAAATGAATTGTTTTATTACAAACATTTATACTTACTGACAAGGTTTGGTTTGGTTTCGAAAATGTCGTTATTTCCATATCTTCTTTTTAGTCATTTTTTAAGGCATTTAGGGGAACGAAGTTAAATGTCATCAATCTCTAATCAGGAGAAATCTAAATTAGTGGCCGTATCCATAATTGAGCATTGTGCATTTTCATAATTTTCGAACGATAATGAAAAAAATGTCTCATAAGTTACGGAAAATTAATCACTCAATTTGTCTACAAAAAAAAACCAATACATGAAAATGCATAAATTTTAGATTACATTTGGAGAGAGTTTTTTACTGCCGGAGTTATTTAATACGGTTTACAATGCAGACATTTTTTTACCAGCAGTTAATCACTAAATTAAACTGTTATGCAAAGGATCCATTAAATTAATTGCCTAAACCTTTAGGACTTTATACACAAAAATTTGTTGTATTGTTATCTCGCCATTTTGCCGATGAGAAGGATAATCGGGGATCATTTTCCATAAAATGCTGTGAGAGATTTGAGTTTTGGCAACCTCTTAGTTGTACAGTTTATATGATGGATATTTTCAAAGGGCCTGCAGCAAGGATCTATTTGTCGACAGTAAACAACTTATGAAGTAATCTCCTTACGGGAAAACCTATACAACTTTGAAAAGAAGGAAACAAATCATAACATTGACAAAATATTATTAAACTTCTTAAAATCACCGATGGAAGCGCTGCGTTATAAATGATACATCGCATAAAAGTAGGAATAGAATTTTTTGTTCTTGTCTCTCCATAGTCCAACGTTTGAGAGATCGAAAGACAAATGATCGTGGGTGGTGTCAATCTATTCCATTTGTACGTATCAATTTTTTACAGAATACAAAGTGTGAAGTAATTTTTTATTTATGTATCGTGTTTATTTTTAATGTATAATTTGTCTATTCTGAATCCGTAAACCCTTAATTTCTGATTTAAGGAAATAAAAACTGTAAGTTTTTCCTGAAAACCTGGTATTTTTACAAAAATAATGTCACGTATAACCGTCTCTCTTATGGCAACGTGGTAAATTGCATCATAGTGGCGTCACTTTAAACTTATCGTCAAATTATTAATATGCCTATACACTTTCAACCGCAAATTAAGACAAATTGCAAAAATAAAAACGCAAAAAATTTTAGTAAATTCCAGAAAAAAAAATAAGATAAAATTAAGGTGTTCACACACACCACTTAAACGATTATATTAATCGATTCGTGTTTATATTACAGCCTGCGGAGTAAACGTTTCACTTGTATATATATGTATACATGTAGAAAAAAAATCACCGCGATCACAGCGTAGACACAAGTCGTTTGGTTTTTAATACAAATTTATTGGGATCCGGTTATATTTCCATTATTGTTCGAAGGCGAGATTTGAAATGAGTATCGTTTCTCAGTTTTATATATTTTTGAAAATATTAGGTTAGTGGTATGTCTTGTATTCCCTTTCAAACAAAACAAAAACTAATAAAATGGGTTAATAAATTAAACAACAAACCCGTTATCAAAACGATATTTATATATAACTTAAGAAGTTCAATGGAATTTTATAGCTATAAAAATTTGCCTCAAAGGACTTAATTTTTGACAATGTTTTCGATATTTTATTTTTCTTATTTATTTTTGTTTGCATAAAATATCCATAAATGATTTGACATATTAAATACGTACCATGTGTTCAATTTATCTTTGTAACTTTGTGACTTTTATATTTTTAGAGATATCAAGGTAAGCAAAAAAACAAAATGTAGGGTTAGTAGTCAAGTTATTTCCAAGTGACGTATAAAACATTATACTATCAATTTTCTGATATATAAGCCTACTTCAATTTTTTTAAAATGTAAAACCCTGTATATTATATGTGTTTCATAGAACATCTTATTCCGATTACAATGATGTAACACACCTTATATTTTTGTCCGCTCGTTTTTGACAAATCGGCAAAAGTGAGAAATTTTTATATAATTTCAAAGAGTGCTGAGACTGATTGCAACAACAATAATTATTTAAAAATTAAAGTAAAAAATTGTTTAACTATTCTGCATGTGACCACCATTTTCCTGAACACATTTCTCATATACTCTTATTTTATGATGTCTAGGATTTAACAACGTTTCTTGATTGTCTCTTAAATGAATGATTGCCTCTTTGCCGAAGTTCCACTACATTATTACAAGTAGTTCTGTACACGTGATTTTTTATGTGTCCTCAAAAGAAAAAATCCATTAAAGTCGTGGCTGTTGGCTGGCCAATCCATAGTTCGGCCGTTCCCTATCCAACCCCTGGGGTATTCCTTGTTAAGAAATTTTTTAAATTGCACAACATGAGGAGAGGCACCGTCTTGCTGCCATCAGCAAGACGGTGCTGATATATTTCGGGGTAAATCTTCTATATATTGTTATATTTGGTGCTTTAAGAGTGACAAATAATGTTCTCCAATTAACTTTTGGTCTATAAATATCGGATCCAAAATATGCCCACCTATGACACCACGCCATTCATTAATTGAATAAGAAAGTGACTAACTGATACGAATTAAGGAAAGACCCGGGCAAGCTATAAGAATGAAATATGGCTGAACAGGTCCGTACTTCGCTTAGAATTTAATTATTTGGGGTTTTGTTAGGAAAGATACTAAACAATATGTATTTATTTATGTATGTATTTATGTTTAAATCTAAAATAAAATTATAAATTATTTTTATTATCTACTTAAATTACTTAAAGTTATTCACATAATATATCAGTATCACTATCGCTATCATCGCCTGTTCTAATAATTATTTGTTCTATATTATTTGTTCTATATTATTTGCAATATGGATATAAGATTGTTCTGCTTTTTCTATATGTTTAACAGAATTTGCCCAACTTTGCGGAAGGATGTTAAAAACTTCGGTTTCTATAAGGACATTGGAGTTAACACGGGGAAAAACATTGTTACAACGAATGGCAGATATGAGTTGGTGCCAAACATATTCAATGGGATTTAATATGCAGTGGTAAGCTTTGATCCTTAAAACTGTATGCCCTAGATTTTTTGCATAACTATCACAGACGTATTCCTTTTGTAGGTTCAAGCTTTGTAGAATCTCAATTAATTGGTATAATCTTCGTGAAAACAAATGTCGTTATTATACATGTGGGTTTGGATTGTTGCTTTTGTGTCACACGAGGAAGGGGTTTTAGTTAACTGTCCACTGAGATAACTTGCATTGTCCATTACAATTAAGCTATTATGAGTAATGTTTGGAACTAGTTTGTTTTTAAACCAACTTTCAAATAAATCAGTGGTGGTGTCTTCATGATAATCCAGAGAAGAATATTTAATATTTTTCGCAGACAGAGAAAGTCCATTTGGAATCCAACCATCTTACCCCTGGATATTTATTTCGTGTATTTGTCCAGGATTATTAAAATACCAATATCGCGTATTTTGTCTATTACAGCCCTTTGTCGTAGTGAATAAACTTTCATTAGTCCATAAAATGTTTTTCAAAAAATTATGATTCTCATTATGTGCCTATTTAAAAAATTCAAACAAAACTGCATTATCCCTTGACCATTAGTTTTTGAGTTTTACTACTAATAGAGGAAACTGGATGTGCTTCATAGAATCTTAATATATTTGCCTTATTTTCTTTATTTAAAACATTATGATTCCGGCATGCCATTTTATTGCCAGCTTTGGAAATATTTGTTTTGAAGCAGCTCGGTGTTTTGGATAAAGTTTAATATATTGACGACGAGTTGCGGTTGCACTTTTATAATTCAGAAAGTATACTTGAAGGATATTACTCCTGTCATGGATGCTAAATTGGCAAAAAACCATTTTAACAATAACAATGACACGTCAAACATAAACATATTTTTATTTGTCAGTCAGGCACTTTTTGAAATTATACAAAAAATTTCCTATTTTTGCCGATTTGTCCAAAACGACCGGATTAAAATATAGTGTTATATTATTCTAATCGGAATAAGATATTCTATCAAACACGTATATAATATACAGGGAGTTCCAGCCAATTAAAATGTAATCAAGATCAATTGAACACACGGTACATATTTAATGTATTTCAAACCATTTATAAGCTTAAAGTAAGTAAGTAAAAATATGTTCTCTTAACTTAATGTCAAACGTATTTGAACATAAATACTAGTACTAGAGCTAAAAAATATTAATCCTTGGCTACTATAGAAAATGTTCACTTTTCCTACGTGAACAGGAAGCCAGACAGGAAGATTTTGAACTTAAATAAATTTCTGTCTGCTAATTAATAACTCTATTAATTAATTTCATTTCCGTTACAATTAGGTCTAGTTTGATAAGCGTGGTGAATTAGCTCTTATTTGACAAAAAAAAAGAAAATACATACATATTTTCAAGATAATCTATGTACTAACACTACAAACATCTACCGCATTGTAATAATGTAGTAGGGTAAAATGTGGAATTCATAAACATAATTTTAATTTAATTGTAAATGTATTATTACTTTTAAAGGCTCAAGATGCAGTATCCAATCGCTATCGTTTTTTTCTAAAGAATTTTTTGTTAATACGTAAAATTTATGTAATATATTTCTTTTGTCAAGTTTAGGGCACGATTACTCCAATATTTCTGAAAAGTTAGAATAAATTTTTCCAATTACAGGAACATGTGTATTAAGTTTTACTTATATTGAGGGATAATTTAAAAATTTATAAAAATGTTTTCAAAATATTTCGTTCATTTTTTATTTTCGCTGCGACACATTTCCAAGAAGACTTACGAAAAAGGTCAGTGTCGTCCGCATAAGAAATCACCATTCCTCAACTTCAAATTCTTATGGTATCATTGCTAAGTGGACATTTGTAGCGAATTGGTTGTATTTAATAAATTAGATAGTGAAACTCAACCTAAAATAGCACATTAGTCTTGTTCATAGTATCTCCAAGGGCTACAAAAATGTATCGACAGTCTTATTGATTTTTGCTCCTTCAGTACTTATTTTAAATTATTTATTTTTTCTTTAATTAATTAATTCATTTTAAAAGTCTGATTCCGATAAATAAATTTACATTTCTCTACTGTTAATAAAAATAGCTGAATTAAAATCATTTTACACATTTTGGGTATATTTCAAAAGCACCTGTGGATCATATTTGGCTGTCTTACTAAGCAAAACAATAAAATTGCCGAAATTTCAAAAAAAAAATCGAATACGGGAACGCTTATGACCTTTAAACATGTTTAACACTGCAAAAGCAGGCTAATCATCCTGCAACATTCAGAAGGGTCCTGCATTGGCGGAGACACTCAAATTTGGAATAATGGCACAGAACCTTAACATAAAAATTACATTGAAACATTAACATTGAAATATACATGGTCTAACAGTTTATTTCTAAAAGTTGGGTGCGTGTTAAATCTAAAATAACCATAATTTAAATGACTGGAATAATTTTTTAACTTGTTTTTTGTAGAGAAAAAAGCGTTGCTCCACTGTTTTTTCAGAAATTTCTATACTCTATACTTTTCAATAACTTATGTTAAATCAATTAACATTTTTGTTTCTCTTATTTTCAACTCCATTCAACTAATAAACTCCATACTTATTTATATGAATTAAGTAAATCTGAAGGTTTTTATTATATCATCTAGTGACGCCCTCGGATATATTTTATACCTACTTAAAGTTTTATTTACTTTTACACTGTTTATCTATATGCCTATTTTTCTTCCTATAGACCATTAAACCAGGATATGTAGAAACGGTGCTAAGGATAGAGGGCCTGAAAGGTCTAAACACAGAAGATGTTGCCGATGCTACCATTTACAGATTATTCAATCCACCTCACGTTCAGGTAAGATTTCTCCAAATTGCTATAGTTAATTTGAACAAATGAACAAACTAAAAAAAATATTTTTCTGTCCCATTGGTAATTTTTAAACGACTAACATTTATTAACACAAATAATTATTGAACAAATCTTCTTTTGAGTTCTCCTGTAACACTATGACGTAGAATTTATTCGGTATTATGGTATTCTGTATAACAAAATACTTATCGAGGTTTGAATATTTTCAAATTTTCCTAATTACCTTCCACATTATTCACGATCCAATCTTCAACTGAAGTTTATTAAACTTGAGAGTGTTGTCATCTTCGCCTTTGTGCTTTATTTAAATATTAAATTAAATATAAATGTATAGTCTTATTAGTTCTAAACTTAATGTTACCATAGTACTTCGGGGTCAGCAGAAACATGGAAGTACAGCAAAGAGAACACTCAACTCCATCTATTTGAATATATAATAGCTTATTATACCATTTATGCAAGTTTACATAGAGTACACTTTAGTCACGAATTGTTTTTAGTAACAATTTATCCTGTATGCGATTTACATATGTTACATAAGTAAGTCGCTCCATAAAAATATGATCTTAACATCTACCATCAAGAATAACAAAACTCCTGAGGAATTTTCGGCGTTTTAAGTCTTTAAAAATACAAAAAATTACAGCAAATGCAAACAATACGTACCTAATTATTATATCTTTACTTTTCGCATACCATTTCCACAATTGTATTAAAAAACTCATAACGTAGTATTGATTATTTGACATAGTCATTGTATTAACTTAAACATAAATAAAATAGTATTAATAGTACTACTGAACGAAATTTGTAGAATACTGTAAAATGTGTTTATCGAATTCTATTAATAGGCAAATCACTTTCTTTTAGATGTAGATCTTGGTAGATAAACCAAAAATGTGAGAGTGCATACATAGAAAAAGGTCAAAATATAGCAATATTATTGATATTGAAGAATATACATACCGTATTTAATTTAGCCTGTGTGTCGAATTAAGTCAGCACTATCTGGAGAACCATTTTATTCTTAGTTTTACAATTTTTTTCAAGGTTCTGCATGGTCAAAAATAAGAAATACAACCATCAAATGTAAAATTTGTTGAGCCATATATAGTTACGAATTTATTTTTGAAAATATCAACATTTGTTATTAAGAAAAATTATTCATAATTGAAAACTATTGTGAGATATTCAACTTTATCGATATGATTGTGAATGTTACTTATTACATGTTAATTAATTTTTTTTTCATTTGTAAAATACAATATTATATGCAAGCTATACGTTGTACATTATTGATATGTTCCTTAATTTCTTAGTTAGGTGTCTTTTTGCTCAGAGCACTTTGTCTTTGTCTTTGTCGCCAAATCTTTAATCTGTGTTATATTGGCGGCCAGTGCTTTGGAGGTTTTCTAATAATCCTCTCAAATACGAGTGCTGAGTACTTTTTTCTCTTATTGCTCAGCTGGTTCTTTCCTTTCCTTATTTATAGCTGCCTGGAACTGTTATTGGTCAGATCTTTCTTGTATTGTACTGCAAAGTTTTCGGGTCGTTTCCAGAAGTGTCCTAATTACTCCTAGTAAAATCATTTGGGATGGTTGTTGCGATATTCGTTTGACTAGAACGTCCTAAAATGGCAGTTGTCCATTGACATCGTGAACTTGATTGTTGCATATACTCAATACTCAGCATCCCAAATATTGTCACAGGATTATCCTGAGCAGAAAGACACTCTGGTCACAAGCAGCAAGTTCATAGAGAGCAACAAGAAATTCAAGGAAACAGTTTTTATCCAGGGAAGTAAAGAGGCTTTCAGTAATCCATCACTTGAAATAAACGGGCTGTGGGTACCACTAGTGACAGGTAACAAAGACCACCAACAAAGACGACACACACCAGCAACCAGCAGTCGGTTCACACCTCATTGACAAGTAGTCACACTCTAGCGAGCAGCAGTCACACATAAGGCTATATTTAAGCTCGTAGAATTTTATCATTATACTATTGATAACTGTTGGAGATACATGCCAACCAAATATAATTAAAATTGGTTAAGTTCTAAGAGAACATTGTTACAGAACGCAAAGGTTACAATGTTTTTCAATAAAATAATTTACCAAATTGGTGGATATTATCAGACATCTGATAATAGATTTCAAATTCGATCAACTTTTCTTAATAACAGCTGACGATAAAATTCTTATCGTTCGAAAAGCATTGTATATGGGTGAACAAATTTGATATCTTATGATGGTATTTTAAATTTCATACGACGCAGAACTTTTATAAATAAGAACTTTTTTTCGTATAACTAAAAATAAAATAAATCCCATATGGTGCCGATTTAATTGTACACTGTGTAATAATAAACTATTTTTCTTGTCTCATTTCATTTTTAACAAATGTCTGTTCTACGCGAGGTTCTACAATTTCCCTCTCAATTTCTAAAAACTACTTTAAATTCGCAAAATTTGAACAATAACGGAGACATTGTAAAATAAAAGCGGGGAGTCATTTTTCCGCTTGTTTCATTTCTTTTTCAGAGCGCGATTAATTCCAACCGAAATGCTGAAGAATACGCCGTCGGCGGAAAAGTTTTCTGCGGTTGTCATCCGATAAAACTCACCACAAATAATATTTTTAATGTTATGTTTGTCGACCGATAACGTGCCGGGGTCGCCAACAAAAAACAAAATTTTGATAAATTCCAGAAAAATTACTTTCTAACATTTGAAGATTAGGTGTGCAATCCTTGTGATAATTTTTAATGAGAAAAGAGTACTAGTATTAAAACAAGACTCGACTGTCAATCCGATTCATTTTTATATCAACAGGATCGTGAAAAAAAGAAAAGAAAAGTAATAACTTTTAGCGCGATAAGAACAAATAAATAACTTTAAAAGCATGTTTCGAACCGGTGAAAATAAACACAAAGTGTGTTACATTTTCTAGATTGGTCTCCACAAACTCACTTGTTAAGTAATAGCATAGAACGAAAGTTTTATATAACAAAAAGGGATACCTATTAAAATAGATTTAACTAAATCGATTTTAATACTTCGAAAGAAAATTATATGAAATTAAATAAAAATAAAATTTTAAATTAAAAAAAAACTTGTTTGCAGGCCCTCCTGCAATAAAATAGCAAACTATAAAAAAAACAATTACCAACTTTCTTCCATATATCGACATATTCCAAAAGTTATCTCAAAAATGAAAACGGACCATAGCAGATTTTTCTACATAATATAATGACAAGACATGATATTTATATAAAATTAAAGCATATCCCAACCTCTACGTGTTCGCAATGCCATTGCTTAGCTTTGTGATGCATCATAATGCAACAGTATAGTATACCATTAAAGATCTGTTAATGTTTTTGAATTTCCGCAGCCGAATTTTGTCAAATAATTATTTCATTAACCATGTACCAACCAGTAGAAATCAAAAGTCCGTAATTATAACTTTGTAAAGAATTTTATACCGAACTTTTAATAGCTTTTGTTAAATTTCCTCATCCATTACTTGTGCAACTTCCTACTCCAACTAATAAAATGTTTCTGACACAGTACCAAAAACATATTACAAAAAATGCAAGTCATTTAATTCTCCACCTGATGCATCATGATGCATCGCAAAGTAAAGCAACGATATCGCGAATACGCAGAGGTAGGGATATGCTTTCATTGTATATAACTTTCGTGTTTGGTCGTAGAGTAGGCTAGAACATCGGCATCACACCAAGGAAAAGGCAAGCCGAATATGGTGCTGAGTCTAGATCGTTGGGTTGGTAAAGTCGCCGTTGTAACTGGAGCTAGTGCCGGAATTGGAGCTGCTGTTTCGGAAGCCCTGGTTAAAAATGGAATTAACGTAAGTAAACGATTTAAAAAAAAGTGTAATTAAAAGCGCATGGTTTGGTATTTATGTATCTGCAACATAAGCATAAATGTAAATATATATGGTTATTATTTTAAATGAGCATTTACTTTATATAATTTGAACACTAAAAAAATACAATTAAAACTATTCGCACTTGTATAACCATAATTAATCTATTTTTCTAATTAATTAGAATTAAAAGAAAGTCAAGTAAAATTCATTTTAAAAGACATTATTCACTTGATAAATGAAAGGCGTAACAATTTTTTTTGAAAATTGATAACTGAAAAGGTGGAACAAAAAAAGCATATCGATTATTTTTGAAAATAAACATTTTACGGTACACACGCGTTATATCTTACTGGGAACTATCGTTCTTTTGATATCAGTCACGTGGCGTGTCATGCCAGAAAATAAATCGAAAACTCCGACCTGAATACGGGAAATGTGCGATTAGATGAAAAAATATCGGAAAAACTTATTCATTATGAACTTATTGTTATTAATTCTGATTTCATGCAGGTGGCTGGTCTTGCACGCAGACAAGGACCACTCGATGCAATGGCCAATAAATTAAAAGGTCTCAGAGGCAAATTTTATCCGGTTCAAGCTGACCTCTCGAAGGAAGAGGACGTCAAGAAGGGATTCAAATGGGTTTTGGACAACGTGGGACCAGTCGCAATTCTGGTTAATAATGCTGGAGTTTACTTTCCAAACACTCTTATTGACGGCGATGCGCAAAAATGGAAGCAAACTTTTGGTAATTATTTTCGCAAGTTAATATATCAATGATTGTAGGAATAATTCATGAGCTCGAAATTGTAAGCCAACAAGTTTCACAATAATTTTGATGTTACAGACACGAACGTTTTGGGTGTTTGCGTCGCAACAAGAGAAGCTATAAAACAAATGAAGGATCATAAAATCGACGGGCATATATTTCATATGAACGCAATACTGGGTCACAGAGTTCAGAATATACCGAATTTTAGTGTAAACCCGGCCTGTAAATTTGCAATCACTGCATTGGCGGAGACACTGAGATACGAAATAAATGGGCAAAACCTTAAAATAAAAATTACCGTAAGTAATAAAAGAATTACATAGTTGTGATATGTCGTTATTAGGAGGTAGGTTAGATATTTTATTTTTCAAATTGTCCACTTCAAAATTATTATACCGACAGTCCGGCACTTATATGAGCTTCCCCATTTAGCGTAGTGTGTCTGAATTAAAAAGTTAAACTATGTAGTCAAGTTTATGATTTGAAACATCTACAATTCGGACGGAGAAAAATGGAATATTAACTTCTTATTATTATTAAAATTTATTACATATCGACAAGTTTTTGTTCAGTTGGAATGTATTTATTTTTCTTTTAAATTCATTTTAAGTGCTTCTAAATGCTTTCAAAAAGCATCACTCGTTGCTTTTGTTTCATGCCTGTTTATTCTACTGGAATAAAGTTCCAATATAAGGAAATGATTAAAACCATTTCAAAGAACTTTTTCATGGAAATGTGGAACATTTTTTAGTATGCATATAATTCTGATATTTTCTCACTGCGAATGTTTTGGATTAAGTCTATTGATTTGGGTACTAATATCTGACTTCTTTGGATTATCCATAAATTATTTTTGTTCATTCGTTTTTCAGAATTTTTGATTTCACAGTTAAATTGGTTGAATGGTCTTTAAGAGTATTATTGTCCTATTACTATTTTTTTAGCATTCTAAAAAAACAGTATTGTATTGTATACTTGTAGAGTATTAGTCCAGGATACGTGGAAACCACATTAAAGATTCCAGGCCTGAAGGGTCTAAATCCGGAAGATATTGCTGACGCCATAGTTTATGGTTTATCCACCCCACCTCACGTTCAGGTAAGTAACATTTCTCCAAACCGTTTTTAAAAATCTGGATAAGCTTCAAAGCAAAAGTTAATTGGCACACCAATAATAATTATTTTAAACATTTTCAGGTTTCCGAAATCACCGTTCAAATTATTAACGATCCAATGTAAAACTTATTTCGACTGACTGCACTTGAATTGAAATGTTGTTTTCAACTTGCTGTAACTCTTTTTTTTTGTAAAATAAAAGTTCTATACAATAGTTTTACCTTTTTATTTAAAATGCATTAATTAATTGTATACAATTGGAGGGGTTTGCTGGTTCAAACTATAACACATAAAATTATACTATACTTAAATAACGTAAAATCAATTACGCTACTTAAAACTCGACCAATAAAGTAACCATTGAGCGCGGAAATGAGATACAACTTATTTTTAGCATTAGCCTTGAATTTCACGTTTCCTTCACGCTCGTCTAAAAATGTTGTTTTATTTAAATAAGTTAGACCGGTATTGCAAAATAATTTTCGAACGATGGTTTCAATAGTTAACTTAGATTATGTTGAGATTATCGCGGATGCACTTTAGGGCAGTTAAATAATCTTTATCATGTAGACATAACATATGGCGGTCGAAACATTGTTGTCAAGTCATTCAATCAATACGTTGTTTTAATACTTGTAATTAATAAGTCGTAGTTTCAAGACTTTTTAAGATTCTTAAACTTCAAGTACTAACTAACCAAAACTATTTTTTTACTATTTTGTTACATCCAAATGGGACCATATTTTGGATGCCTTGTCTCTGTTATTAATATACCAAATTTAAAAAAAACTACTTCTGAATCTAAAATACTTAATTATACACTGATCAAGCGTGTGAAAAGTGTCAATTTATTCCCAAGGTCACGTTTCATTTCCAGTACTTTTGTCACGAGAGCGATCTGATGTTTTCGGTAGATTCTAGCCATACCACTCTGAAAAGGTACCTAAAAAAAATCAATACTCTTAGAAAAAGTATAGTATGCTATACGTTGTTAAACTTCTTCAGTGACTTATTTGCTAGCCAAATCAAACCAGAGGTGAAAATAGCGAACATCAAACGTATTGCGTAATAGAGTATTATACTCCCATTATCTTTTCTTATCTACATTTTGTAGTGAAAGATAAAAAAGGAAAAATGAATTATTTTCGTTTATCTATATCTCTAATCAGATAAATATTATACTAACAAATTATAATATATAACTATATATTCAATCATCATATTTTGATTTATAATTTGTAATTTACTTAATGCCGTTAGCTTTTCAATTCGCTTAGCTTACCTATATGGTTCAAGTTCTCATTTTCTGGCAAAATCTGATCCTTGAAGTTTTGGAGAACATTTTTAACTATAAGATAAAGGCGGCAACAATGGCGTCCGACAAAACGCTGCAAAAGAATTTCCTATGCATACATTCTTTAGAATATATAAGTTCCTGGCTGCACATGCACACGTTATAAATTATTTTAAGTTATGGTTTTGTCTATGGACCGTTGGGGCGGAAAAGTGGCTGTGGTAAGGGGAGCGAGTGCAGGAATTGGGGCAGCTATCGTGGAAGAACTAGTTAAACACGGCATTATAGTAAGTAGTAAGTTCTAAACGGAATTTTGGAGCTACAGTAAATTGCCATTATAAATGCAGTCAGTGGTCACATTATTTGCCTTGAGTTTGAGGTCGGCAGGACACATAATTTAAAAGTCAAACATTTTAGACACTTGTTTATTTTGAATTCTTAAAATTTCTTATTTTCACTGTTTTGACACCATTCAACCATGATTCTCAAGAGTAAATTGAATTATATATATATTATATATATATATATATATATATATATATATATATATATATATATATATATATATATATATAAATTGTTCAATAACGTTCCAATAATTGACATAACGTAACAAAACCAATCAAAATAAGCACCAGACCCAAATGTCTTATCACTCTTATACTATAGTTAAGAAAATAGCGGAATATAATATGATATTGTTCTGCTTAATTGTTCCATAATTTTTTTAAATTAGTACTATGTAATGTACTATTTTAACGTCAAGATAACATCTTCCGTTTTCTTCGAAATGGAGATACAAATAATTTCCATTTTAATTGTTTCGCAGTACACATATGGTTGTATTACATTTAGTCTGGTACGCTTTAAAGGTTGTAGGTTTCGCTAGAAGAAAAGAGCGTGTGGAACAATTAGCTACTACATTACGGGGTGCCAAAGGAAAAGTGATAGCGGTAAAATGTGATATGACGATTGAAGACGACATTTTAGAGGCCTTCAAGTATGTTCGTACTAATCTTGCACCGGTTAGTATATTAATAAACAACGCCGGAATTCTTCAGGCAACTAATCTTATTGACGGCGATACAGAAAAATGGAAGACATTGTTAGGTAAACAGAAATAACTCTTAACAACTATTTTTGCAAAGAGGGAATAATTTAAAACATCTCATGATTTGGGTATGCAGGAATATAGGTATAAGTCGTGACTAAAGTGTAAACTGTACTTAAAATGTGATTTAACTTACTTTAAATGCATAGAGCAAAATTCATAATAGGAAGAAAAAAGTTTTGTGTTTTCACAAACTACTATTTTTTTGTTATGACTGCTTTATTAAGTAAAATATGCACGAACATCCGTTCGCAAAGAGCGAATGCTTTTTTTATTTACAGAACTAAAATGGAGAAAATGTTTTCCTCAGTGAATCAGATGGATATTATTTTCAGATACCAACATATTGGGCTTATGCATAGCCACCCGAGAAGCAATGAGAGACATGAAGGCCAACAACATTGACGGGCATGTTATACACATTAATAGCCTTGCCGGTCACAGAGTGTATGATTATCCTCAGGTGAACTGTTATGCAGCTAGTAAACACGCCGTAACTGCTCTGGCGGAAACCTTGCGATACGAAATAAACAGGGAAAATTTAAAAGTTAAAATAACGGTAAACACATTAACACGCATTATAGTCCAATATTTATTTAGTAAAAAAACTTATCTCACGTATTGTAATTTTTTTAATTAATTTTCATTTGTTATTATTTCCGAAAATGTTTCTGCATAACGATAATATGGAACAAGTTTGGATAGATTGTTGCAATTATATTGAACTTTAAACTTTTAATGCAAATTCTGGGTACAATCTTAATAATAAAAACTTCGCTAATTGATCGCGAGCTCAATTGTAGAGTATAAGCCCCGGTTATGTTGAGACCGACATCGTGCAAGCTGCTTTCGGAACACAAGCTGCAAACTTTCCCTTAAAAAAGGGATTAAAATCTGAAGATGTTGCGGATGCCGTTTTGTATGCTCTATCCACACCTCCACATGTACAGGTTTGTTCGATTAATCGTTTTTCTATTGTTTAGTTACTCACCTTATTGTTCAGGTTTCTGAAGTCACAATAAGGCTCCAAGGAGATAACCGAAACTAACAATAACTTAAAGAGAAAATAAAAAAATAAATAGGTCATTCAATATGGTGTTATGCAGAAAATGTTTAGCTACACTGGAATAACGTGAATATAAAAAATTTGATTTGATGTAAAAAGTATATCAACAAAATATTGTAGACGTACAGGATAATAAAAATAATATTTTTTGCCATGATTTGTTCAACTTAAAATAAATTCTTCTTTCTTATTCTGAGTTTAGAGTAAGTACTGTCTTCTTGGAATAACCTCAATATTGCAAACCTCAACAACGTCGAAGTTATCTCCTATAACAGTACCTCAATAAGAATAAGTTTTTTGAGTTATTATTTAAGATTTATATGTCTAGTAAAATATCATCCGCAATTCAAAAATTGCATTAAATGTGAAATCGAAAAAAAAAAGAGAAAGTTAAATAATATTTATGAGACACTGAGCAACAAACACTTTACTAGCAAGTAGTTTTGTTTTATAAAAAATTTTGTAATTCGTTATGCGGAAAATTAGTTATATGAAAATAGTACATTATGCAACAAGTGCGGTAGACGGTATTTGACTCATGAGCTTATTTGACACGAGCGGAGAGAGTGTTTAATTAACGACTGAGTTAAAAAGTTTACCGAACGTGTTGCATACTATACTTTTTTTCTACTCCCGTCTGTAAAATACCTAATTACGCACCGCTCTAGTATGTGGGAAGCGTCACTTTACCACGTCAGTTTCGTTCCCCATGAATGCGATCCACTTCGGCCATTTCCGGGATTTTCTCGCACGGAATTGGGAGCAATCGAATGTTTTCTGAGATATTTCTCACTCTTTGAATTTTGATGTTTGTCAATTCTGACGGTCATGTCAGTGAATGTATTCGTGTTGTTTTGCGAAAATGTACTCAAAAACCAACGGTCGTAGAAAAAGTATAGTATGCAACACGTTCGATAAACTTTTTAAGTCGCTCGTTTATTAAAAACTCGCTCCGCTCGTGTCAAATAAACTCGTGAGTCAAATGCCGTTTACCACACTTGTTGCATAATATACTATCCTACGGCCGTTAGTTTTTGGATACATTTTCGCATAACAACAAGAATACATTCACTGATATGACTGACAGAATTGACAAACGTCAACATTCAAAGCGTTGGAAATATCTCCGAAAACATCCGATTGCTCCCAAATCCGTGCGGTAAAATCCCGGAAATGTCCGAAGTGACTCGGATTCATGGGAAACAAAACTGAAGTGGTAAAGTGACGCTTCCCGCACGCTAGAGCGGTATGTAATTAGGTATTTGCAAGACGGGAGTAGAAAAAAATATTTTTGTACTGCGTACTCTAAAACGCTGCAGCAGTGTGTCATTTTAAGATTACCCACGACTTCACGCACACTTTACGCATTTCCGATACTTTAGTCGCGGATGTTTTCGATAAATTTTAGCCACGGATGTTATATTGAGTTTGCCAATTCTGACCGTCACCTCACCTATCGCTCAATCGATATATCTGTTTTACAAAAAATGTATCCGAAAAAGTATAATGAGGAACACACAATAAACTTTTTCCGGTGCTGGTGCCAAATCAAACCCATGACTAAAATGGCGTATATCAAACTTGTTGCATAATATACTGTCGTGTATACTGACCGGTAACCCTTACAGCAACGTGGTAAATATTATCCACCCGATGTTACTTGTCATAAAATTGTTATTATGCCACATATTTCCCATAAGCTTTCAAATGCAAATGAAGACGCTAGTGACAAAATTGCAAAATGAAAAATTCAAACAATTTTAGTGAATTCCAGAGAGATAAAATGTAGGTTGTACACGAACATGACTCAACAGAATCAAATTGTTCATCTCAGCTAAAAAAAAATCATTTTAGCAATGTTCTTTGAGATAAGATAAAACATATGTCCACAAACATGGCGTTATATAGAGACTGCGGAGTAAACGATTTAATTAGATGAAAGCAAAGACATTTTTTAATAATAAGCAACTATAATCCAAAGAAAAACTGAAATTGAATTTATTGATAATGTTTAGTTTTATTCGTACCAAAAAGTGATATTTCCCAAACTAAGAAAGTCCTAGTTTATAATTACAGACATACAGTTGGTAGAGCTCAATTAACATGTTAATATGTTCTTATCATTAAAATGGCATGGTAGTTCATGTTAAATTGCTGATTATGTTCAGAATTGAAATTGATATGCATGACAAGGTCCAAAGACAAGGCAGTTCAAAAACAGCTTGTATCATAAATTCATTCAGATCATTAATCAATTCTTAAAATTCAAAATAATTGTTTATAGTTTTTACTAAACACTAAAATTGCGAATAAATATTCCTCACAAAAAATTCATATTTTTTAGTTGGTATAATACTCCTAAAAACGACAATTGTACTGAAGCAGTGCGCAAATTCTTAGGAATGGTGATTACTAGGAAAAAGTAGAGGGACATTTTTGAATATAATAATATACAATTTATGTCTAAACTATTTTTTTGGTAAAACTCTCACTGTTTTCGAGAAAAATATATTGATTTGCGTTTTAATTTCAAAATTTTCAAATATCATAAAAAAAAATTCCAAAACCAGACTTCCAAATGAGGTGCTTGTGTTCCCAATCTAGTTGAGCAGTTGTTATGGTGTCAGACGGTATGTTAAATATTAATTTGTCGACAGTACAAAAATTATGGGGTAAGTAATCTCCTGATGGGAAAACCTACGTAGGGCCAAAAAGAAAGAGATAAATCCCAAGGTTGACAAAATGTAATTAAGCTCCTTAAAATCACGGATAGAAGCACCTAACTGAGCCTCGATATACATTATATAAAAGTAGGGACAGAAATTTCCTTTTTGGCCCTCCGTAGGCCAAGCGTTTAGAGATCGAAAGAATGAGTATGAAAGGGGATGGTAGTTGCAATCGATAACATTTCGGAGACTGGAACCAGAAATTTGTTTTAAAGAGTATACATTTTTTTCGCATAGTACAGTAAGTTTTAAGAAATTTTTGTAAAGCTTTTACTTTTAGCAACCGGTTCTCCTATTTTCCTAATCTGTAACACCTAGATTAAATGATTTAAATTATTTGAAAAAATAAAAACTGTGTGCAAAGACTTCGTATTTTTACAAAAATATATTTTTTTACTTTCTACTCTAAAATACCGACCATGCCACTCTAAGGCGCCAATTTCGTAAATCGCTGACGCTAGACATTCGGAAGTTTCCGGTGCTTTAATCACTGATTTTTAATAGATTTTACTTGCTGATGATATTTGTGATTGTCAGTTCCGATGGTCCATCCATTAAGTAATGGTTGTAGAAAAATTGTTGCATACAAAACATTGATAAATTTCATTAGTCACCCTTTATTAAGCACTCGCTCCGCTCGTGCCAAATCCAACTAATGACTAGAATGGCGTTTATCAGGCTTGGTGTACAAATATAATATTTTATTCTAATTTTTTAAATATAATTATGTTTCAGAGTTAGAATTAGTTATAACCATAGCACTTGAAACAGGAGTAACATTTTCTGCTCGTACTGATTTTACTTGCTTCCCGAAACGTTGTATGGGGAGTGATAGGGAAGAAGGCGTAAAACAGTATGAATTTAGGATTTTTAAGAGTAAACACAGTAAAGAGAATTATTCATCACTGTCACTATATATATATATATATATATATATATATATATATATATATATATATATATATATATATATATATATATATATATATATATATATATATATATATATATATATATATATATATATATATATATATATATATATATATAAAATTTTCACTTTTTTAACGTTTCTTTCCTTAAATTATGCAGTTTTATTTTAAGCTGAATTATACTTTTCTCTACACCCGTTTGTAAAATACCTAATTACACACCTATTTAGTGTGCGGAAAGCGTCACTTTACCACGTCGATTTAATTTCCCATGGATCCGAGCCACTTTGGACATTTCCGGAATTTGACAGCAGGGGTTTGGGAGCAATCGGGTGTTTTCGGATATATTTCCCACGCCTTCAATTTTGTCGTTTGTCAATTCTGACGGTCCTGTCAGTGCATATATTCGTATTGTTTTGCGAAAATGCACCTAACAAATAACGGTGGTAGAAAAAATATAGTATGCAACACGTTCCGTAAACTTTTTAAGTGGGTCAAATGCCGTTTACCGTACTTGTTGCGTAACATACCATTTTCTTTGTCTGGTCTTTCGAAACTTTCATATCTCCTTCCTTTAGTTTGCAGGCTAATATCGTATTTATTTAAACATACCACAAAAGAAATCTGCGTTGCTATCGATTCTCTTTTAGTTTTGTTAGATTATTATTAGACTAGAGTATCCGAAATTTTGAGCATCGCTTGAGTGCGTTTGTTGACAAACTTGTATGAAAGAAAATAAATAGAAAATGACAAACTTCGTTGTGCCGTGTTTAAAAGTTTACTTGGAGAGACTAACAAAATCATTAAGAGGCTTAGGGTCGGTCAAAAGGCAACACAATTTTAACCCGTATAAAATCACAATGAAAATAAAATCGGAAACAGTTATAAACACAAAAATAGGCCTCGGACATATTAAAAGAGTGCAAGACACTCGTTTAAAAGGAATAAATAATCCAATCTCTTAATTCATTATTAGCGAGGAGACGCGGTGACAGGTTTTTCACGTATTTTAATAGTCACTAAATGTCACCCCTCGCGACTCTAAAATTCCTCGTTTCTACTCCCCAAGGTTCAGAAATTATTACCCTGTTGGCACCATAGATTCTTCAGCTTGTTCACTTGCAAAATATATAACTTCTATATTACGACAAAAATTTACAGTTTTGTTGTTAATTCTTTCACTTCACTGAATAATATATCCAAACAATATTTTCGTCTGAGCCATATTTGCCAAAAATACGGAACAGCTATGGGTTCTACATTATCACCAGCCATCGGAAAATATATTTATGAAAGCTTTTGATAAGACGCCACTCGACACTTTCTATCTAAACCAAAACTATGGAGACATTACGTTGATGATACTTTTGTTATTTGGTTTCAGGCTCATGTTGCATAAACCATACTCATACTTTTTTAACTGCATCATGCTGTGAGATTTTCTTAACCCTTAAACTGAATGCTCTCTAATATACATATTGCCATTGAATTAGAAACTA